GGCAAGATCTTGCTCTCTTGCCCAGGCCGGAGTGCAGTGGTGTGATCTCAGCTCACTGCAACCTCTGCCTCCTGAGTTCAAGTGATTCTCCCACCTCAGCCTCCCGAGTAGCTGGAATTATAGGCACCCGCCACCACACTTGGCTAATTATTTGTATTTTTAGTAGAGGTGGGGTTTCACCATATTGGCCAGGCTGGTCTCGAACTCCTGACCTCAGGTGATCTGACCACCTTGGCCTCCCAAAGTGCTGGGATTACAGGCGTGAGCCACCGTGCCCAGCCCCTTTGTGGATTTTTATGTTCCTTGTCCTTCTTGCTGTCATTTTGGGATGATAAGAATTGAGGGAAATAGCCCTCTGGTTTCCTGAGGCACGTGAGAACACTGTTCTGTGTGAAGCTTAGCAAGGGTGGCTGGGAAAACAGCAGTTGAATCATGAACATGACTTTAAAAGCCTCTCAAAGCAAGTATGGGAGGGAAGCTTTCTTGTGGCTGACCAGATGGAACCTGTTTTATTTTTGCATGGCTGTCCATAAACTTTCCCGCAGCCTGGCCACTTAGCTAAGTCCAGACACAGCTGCAGTAGAATTGTCCAGTGCATTATTTTGTATATGGCAGCATGTTAGTTTCAGGGTGAGCTTTTGAAAGGCCAGCCCATGTGGCAGTGCTGCTTGGGGTAATGGCTGTGTCCATCACCAGGTGTTGGCCCAAGGGGAGCTCCCTGGTCCATTGGCTTCTTGAGCCAGGAGCTGGGGATGCTGCTGTGTGGGAGCACTTGCTTCCTGGGCACGACTGTAGCCCTCCTCCTGGGGAGGCACTCCTTAGGCAGAGGAGCCTGCCCTTGCCTGTACTGGGGCCCAAAAGGGCCCTGCGTGGTGTGTGGGGTCACATGGAGGCCAATTGGGAGGCATTTGGCAGGGAAATCAGGGAGGCCTCTGAAGGCAGTGGCTCCAGCCAGGCCCGGAAGGGCCTAGGAGAGTTCACAGTACAGCCTGGGCTGGGAAACAGCTGTGAGAAGGAGTGAGCATGTCGGTCAGGGGTTTGGAAGGGGGCCCGGACCATGCTGGGTCTTGGGAGTTGGGAATGAGGAGGGCTGGCTGGGCTGCTCTGTCAGGGGCTTGGCAGGCAGGAGGAGGTGTTGATGTTTATTTGCCTGGCTGTGGGGGTACCCTGAGGGTGGCTGGGCGAGTGAGTGATCTGAATAGTGTGTTGACTTCGAGGGTACAAGACGGCCTTGAAATGAGGAGAAACCAGAAGCTCAGACCTTCTGGACCCACGGCGTCGGGCGGGGGCGGGCGGGCAGGCGGCTGCTGGAGTGTTGATGGCAGAAGTGACGACATTCTGCCTTTGGACAGTGGGAGTGGGAAGGACGTGGTGAACAAGGCTTACAAGGGTCAAGGACCCCAGAACAAGAAGCAGAGGTGGGTGGTGCTGCTGAGGCTATGCATTTGGGAGCATGCTGTGGATGCCCTGGCTGAGCCCTGCTCTCTGGGCCCTGGGTGTGTGGGGTGAGCAGCCAAGCCCTGGCTGTTACCGTTCTCAGGTTGGGAGCAGATACTAAACAGGCTGGTGGCGATAGTTCTCTGAGGAGGAATAAACCAGGCAAAGAGGCCAAGAGTCTGGAGATCTCTTGTGGGTGGAGGCTGAAGGGAGGTGGCGTGTGTGGCTGTTCTGCAGGTATGCGAGTCGGTTCTCCCACTGTTGTAAAGATGTATCTGAGACTTGGCCTTTTTTTTTTTTTTTTTTTTTTTTTTTTTTTTTTTGAGATAGAGTCTTGCTCTGTTGCTCAGGCTGGAGTGCAGTGGTGCGGTCTCAGCTCACTGCAACCTCCGCCTCCCATGTTCAAGTGATTCTTCTGCCCCAGCCTCCTGAGTAGCTGAGATTTCAGGCACATGCCACCACACCTGACCCATTTTTAGTAGAGACAGGGTTTCACCGTGTTGGGCAGGCTGGTCTCGAACTCCTGACCTCAGGTGATCCACCCGCCTTGGCCTCTCAAAGTGCTCGGATTAGAGGCATGAGCCACCGTGCCAGGCTGAGACTCGGTAATTTATAAAGAAAAGGGGTTTAACAGACTCACAGTCCTGTGTGGCTGGGGAGGCCTCAGGAAACTGAAAATCATGGCGGAAGGCGAAGAGGCACATCTTACATGGTGGCAGGTGAGAGAGAGTGAGCAAGAGCAGGGAGTACCACCTTAGAAACCATCAGAGCTTGTGAGAACTCACTGTCACTGGAACGGCATGGAGCTGACCACCCCCGTGATCCAGTCACCCCCACCAGCTCCCTCCCTCAACATGAGGGATTATGGGAATTACAATTCGAGATGAGAATTGGGTGGGGACACAGCCAAACCATATTAGCAAGGATCCCCAAGTGCAGAAGCTGGAGTGGAGCTGACTTCAGGTTTGTGCAAACTGGGAGTTCAGGATGGAGATCATTGGTCACTGGCTGTTATTGATGGCCAGTGATGTCCAGGGATAGTATTAAGGCGTGTGGCCATGGCCTGGTGTGGTAGCTCACACTCATAATCCCAGCACTTTGGGAGGTTGAGGCAGGCGGATTACCTGTGGTCAGGAGTTTGAGACCAGCCTGGCCAACATGGTGAAACCCCGCTTCTACTAAAAAAAAAAAAAAAAAATTTGCTGGGCATGGTGGCATGTGCCTATAGTCCCAGCTACTTGGGAGGCTGAGGCAGGAGAATGGCTTGAACTTGGGAGGCGAAGGTTGCAGTGAGCTGAGATCACACCACTGCACTCCAGCCTGGGCGACGAAGAGTGAGACTCTGTCTCAAAAAATAAATAAATAAAATAAAAATAGGTTTGAGTTGGAGCTGGTCTGATGCAGTGGGAGCCCTGTGTTCTCATCAGCACCCCTCTCCCCAGCCTCAGGCATGGCTAGGGGCCTTGGGGTGCCCGATCCAGCCTCTTTTCTTGCATGGTAAGGGAAGTGGTAAGGCTCTCGAGTGGTAAGGCTTCACACCTCACGCCCTGTTCTCATCAGCACCCCTCTCCCCAGCCTCAGCCATGGCTCAGGGGCCTTGGGGTGCCTAATCCAGCCTCTTCTCTTGCATGATGGCACCTCATGCCCCGTGCTTGGCCCTCAGTGCTGTCTTGAACATCCCTCATGGAGCTACCAGAGTGACCTTCCTAACAGAAGATAGGGTCTAAGGCTTGGACCTAAAACCCCTGTGGTGCCGAGGGCGCAGTGGCTCCTGCCTGTCATTCCAGCACTTTGGGCGGCTGAGGTGGGAGGAGGTCAAGGCCACCGTGACTCAAGTCTGGGCAACAGAGAAATATCCTGTCTCACAAAAAATAGATGAATAAAACCCTTTTGCCCGGGCCCCGCCTCCCTGGGCAGTCTCACCCCTGCCCCTCACTCTGCTTGGGCCCCGCCACACTGCCCTGTCTCACGTGTGGCCTGTTCACCTGTGGCCCCTTCTACCAGGAAGACAGCTGCTCCTCTGCCCAGCGAGTGCCTTGGAGTCTCCAGAGCCTTTGTCACTCCAGCTGTAGAGGCTCCCCTTGTTTGCAGTTCCTTTTGCTTGTGGCCAGCAGAATGTGTTGGGCAGCAGGTCCCGGGTGTGTGGAGGGGCTGGTGGTGGTGCGTGTCCTTTTCCATGGTGTGGATTCTCCATCCGTGAGGGATCTTTGAGCTCAGAGTTGGCAGGTGTGAGTAGCTCCCCTCGGAGCCGATCTGAGGCTGTGGCCTTGGCACCACCACCTCAGGCCTTGTGTGTGTCCCTGTGTGAGTTCTTTGAGGACAGGGGCGAGGATTTGGGTTTCTGCTCATCTTTGAACCTGAGCTGTACATCGTGTCAGTGAAGGTGGTGGCAGGACAGATGGGACAAGAAGCCGCAGGGCGGGTGGCGAGTCAGGGTGACCTGTGAGCTGTGACTTGGTGACGGGGCTGAGCTTTGCGCCTCAGGGCTAGGCCCGAATGAATGGCGGGCTGCAGAAACAGGAGGCAGGGTGCGCTGCGGGGAGAAAGCCGGGGTAAGCACTGCTTTTCTTCGTCAGTGTGGATGTTGTTTTTAACAGATGAGCAGCACCAGCACTAAGAGGGCTCCAACCACAGCGACCCAGAGGCTGAAGCAGGACTACCTTCGCATCAAGAAAGACCCAGTGCCTTACATCTGCGCTGAGCCCCTCCCTTCGAATATTCTCGAGTGGTAAGGCTCTGCACCACTGATCACCCCGCACTGACTGTCGCTGCCGCTCAGGCCTCCGCTGGCCTGGCTGGGTGAGCCTGGTGCCCCGGTCATGGCATTGGTGAGGTGCTCCTGTACCCTCCCCAGGGGTGAGTGTGTGCCCAGGGGCCTGTGGACACACTCTGGTAGTTTTCCCAATGGATGCATGCCGGGGACATCACAGAGCCCTGCTTGACTCAGGCTGGGGCTGGAGAGAATCTCCGTTGTGGGGTCATTGGGTGAGGGGGAGTCCAGGTTGACTCAGGCTGGGGCTGGAGAGAATCTCCGGTGTGGGGTCCTTAGGTGAGGGGTCCAGGTGTGCAGGGCTCACAGCTGCTGCTGATGTGCGCTCCAGGTGCTTAGAGGAGAAATTGCCTTTCTAGACTCTACTCTTTGCTTCTGGATATGGGAATCAGCCTGTTTTGGGCCAGTGTAGGACTAGGGTTTGACACTCCTGTCCCTGGTGCTGGCTTGGGCCAGGTGTCCCGACCCTGAGGCTGACGACGCGAGGACTTGTGCCTCATAAGCGTTCACCTCACGGTGACTCTTTCTTGTTGAAGTCTGGGCTCTGAGAGTGCATGCCGGTCTGCGGAAACGCCGCTGTTGCAGGGCTGCTGGTGATTGGGTAAGAAATAAAGTGTCAGGATGTTTTATATTTTAGTCTTTAAAAAATTAGTTTTTAGTTTTTTTAAATTGAGAGAAAAGGTATTTCAGTGAGTTGAAAGGAAATGTGTTTTGGTCAGGGGCCGCTTTCTCTGGCTTATAGAGGAGGCCTAGCACAGGCAGGTAGAGGGTACCCAGGGTGAGGCAGAGCCTCGGCCACCAGAGTGCTCTCTGCACCTAGTGCTGAAAGTCATGTGCAGCCCCGGGACATAGTTGGCAGGTGTGAGGGACACGCTCCACGGTAGCCCCCGATGGCAAGGACGCCCTCGATGTGTGGGGAACCCTCCCCAGCAGTCTGTGGGTTGGCTTCCCCAAGACCCTGCTCAGGTTCAATGATTGGCAGAGAATACTCATCTTAAAATTATGGAGAAGAAAACAGTAGCCAGCCAGCGGAAGAAGGATGTGGGGCAAAGTCTCCAGGAAGCTCAGCACAGGCCCTGGGCCTCGTGAGGGCTGCGCCGCAGTCCCAGCAGCAGGCTTGGGCTTGGACAGCGTGTGTGGAATGTTGGCCAGAGAAGCTCATTTGAGGCTAAAACATAATAGGGGAAGGCCCAGGGATTTTATGGGGCTGGTCCTGCAGGTACTCTCTGCCTGGCACCTGCCAAAATAACTGGACTTGCTGGAGCAGGGGCTCATCGTAGACCACGTTACTTGTACTGTGTTGGCGGTAAGCCCTGTTGTCAGGCGGTGGCAGCTGGCCTGGACGACAGTGTCAGGCCTATGCCTCGAGAGCCCCTGGTGCGGCCTGCTAGGTGTCTCTCCCTCCCTGAGAGAAGAGTGCTTTCCCAGAAAAGGCCTGTGGGGCGCACTTCGGGCCACGCAGATCCCATGTCGTCTCGGCCGCCTCAAGGCCTCTGGGCCGTGTCTCGGGAAGAGGACGACTTCTTCGTGTCTTCCCTGTTTTCACAGATTGGGCACAGTAACAAAACAAGACCACGTTCCTGGGTATGTTGTGTACTGAGCTAAGAGCCACTTGGTTCCTGGGCCACTGACACACGATAATGGCATTTTTTTGAGTAAAAGATACCAGCTGGCAGATAGCAGGCATCACAGACGGAGTCTTGCCCTGTCACCCAGGCTGGAGTGCACCACCATGCCTGGCTAGTTTTCTTTTTTTTTCTTTCTTTTTTTTTTGAGATGGAGTTTTGGTCTGTCACCCAGGCTGGAGTCCCGTGGCATGGTCTCGGCTCACTGCAACCTCCAGCTCTTGGGTTCAAGCGATTCTCCTGCCTCAGCCTCCGAGTAGCTGGGATTACAGGTGCCCACCACCATGCCCGGCTAATTTTTTTTTTTTTTTTGTATTTTTAGTAGAGATGGGGTTTCACCATGTTGATCAGGCTGGTCTCAAACACCTAACCTCATGATCCACCTGCCTCAACCTCCCAAAGTGCTGGAATTATAGATGTGAGCCACCGAGCCTGGCCCCAGTTAGCATTAAAGTGACAGCACATGTGTCCTGTGGGAGAGCATGGGGAAGGGCGATGGCCGGGGCTTGCAGTTGGCAGCAGCGTCTGGTTTCTGGCATCTCTAGCTGGTTTTACTTTCTTCTCTGTGCTCTTCTGTTTTGTTTGGGAATCTGTAAAGCCCAGACACAACTTTACATGAAGCGAAAGCCTTATTCGTGTGTGTGGAGGAGTGCGGGTTGACTTGCTGTTGCTCCTTGTCTCAGGGTGAGCTCTGTGTGGGGAGTTGGCTTTGGCGAGAGTCACGACTGTTCCGGCTCCTTCTGCTCCAGAACAGCCGCTCAAGGTCACTTCTGGTGTTTCCAGGAGCATGAAAGGGGCTGGCGTCATGTCACTAGCTGTGTTCTATTTAGCCTACATGCATGATACCAAAAAGTATGTTATATATAAGCACATTTTTAAAGATACAAATGTTGTTTTTTGGGGGTTTTCTTTTTCTTTTTTTTTTTTTTTT